AAATGATTTTCAATCTCAACCCAAAAGCCCACATTCAAGTCCTCCGTGTCGTTCATACTCACCCATTTGCCCTGAACTGTTTTTAAAGGGTTCAACACCACTCACTGCACATATCCTCATCTTCATCCTCAGCATGAACACAATCTGGATATCTATCGCAGGTCTCCTCGTACGGAATGCATCGATCACCAAGTTTACAAAGAAATTCGTTCTCGGCACATGTTTTTGTCGCATACTCTGAACAGTAACAATGCGAATCAATCGATACACATAAAACCCACGCAATACCCACCACTTCCGCTGCAAGTCACATTGTCCGCATTCAGCTTCCGCTCACCACGACATGCACAGTGAGGCTGCCCCCGCGCATCCAGGCGGCATTCATCACCACAAACAAGCGACGCGCACGCATCCGCGCCACCTAAACAAGGCAATAATTATGGACACTTGGACTTTCAGCGAGTAGAAGGCTCTAAAAATGGAAATATACATTTTTGGGCGTTCTTCATTGACACGGTTATACTTTGCACTGGTGTGGACGTTTCGACGACTAGTCGCTCGCCAAGACCGTCAATTTTGTCCGCGATGACAAGCTCTCTGAACATTCCAAGTTCTATCCAAATCAATAAACTGGATCGATGAACGGTTTCGTGAAACGTACAGTTTCGGTACGTAAGATCCGATATTGCTGTAAACGAGTTGGTCATCAACAATAGCCAATGCATATGGACGGCGAAGAAGTGTTGTTCTGTTCTCCGTGCCAGGAATGACAATCTGAAAATGAACTTACTATTAAAAGTTCTGCCGCCATGGTCACCATGGCCACCATATAGCCGTCGAAAGCGTCGACATAGCGTGGAAGTATAAACACTTCTCAGCGACCGTACCTCTTTATTTCGTCCATCAAAATCAACCCGGTAGATTTTAGCTGAGGTGATTTCAGCAAAATAGAGTTTTTCAGCCGAGAAATCGATGGACAACCGAGTGTCACCAATCACTTCCTCCTCCACTATACGCTCCTAAAAAATGACTTTTATTATTATACGATAGGGTGGCCAGTAAGGGGAGAAAAAATTTTGAAAACAGCCAACATACCCTTCTATAGCCGCTATAATACATTCGCTCTATAGACGGTACATTACCAGAGTTTGTGAAAAAGATCAGCCTAGAAAAATCGAGCTAGAGGATCTTCAATACAGTATTCATTTGTTCAAATCAAAATATGAAAAATATAACTACTGAAAAATGGTGCTGAAAATCACTGCCAGAGGATATCAGTTGGTACCGCGATCATTTTGAATATCGACTGATACCAAGCATTTCTTTTAGCAAGCCACCACCCGCTTTTCCAGTCTGGGAAGCGTGCCGATGCGCGTAAGTGTCATACATCGCTTTCTAACAAATTTCTGACTGATCAAATCAGCAAATATTTGTAGATGAAGCGCAGTTGATACATTTCAAATCGACTTGAGTCACACCTTTCAAACAGTAACCACACGCGTCCTATTATTAGACCTACGAAACCACCACAAAAGTAATTACTGTAATTCATTGTCCGTAAATCATCCGTAAAACATAGAAGATCAAACGCAATTCAGAGATATGGTTCGGGAAACATAGTGGTTACAGTGATGCAGTAATCTTGAAAGACCCGAAGAGACGGAAGACTCAAATCCGATAGCTTACATTCTGCACGGATGCACGACGATATCTTTGGGTTTGTTTCCTTGGCCAAGATAAGCGACACGTGTTGAAACGACTGGATAGCTGGCCGGATCGTCAGCGGACAGACTGAGACGCCAGATGGACGGCGGCGTTAGTCGTGTATAGTAAAGTTCACGATTCATAGCATCCAGAGAGATACCCTCCACTTCACCGACATCTGAATAGAAAAATTTGAAGCACTGGATCTGCTGAAGGTTTGCTTTATCACTATGGGCCCGTTAGCTTTCTCCTCTGTAGGTTTTTTTTTCCTTTCTCACTCACCATCGGCCACTGAATACCAATCATTTGTGGTGAAACTGAACATGAGGATACGATTCGAAACTCTGTCGACAAGAATCAGCTGGTTACGATCAGGATCCGCTTCGATCACCGTGATTCCTCTGAAATGGATGGAACATCACATGTAGGAATAAACGGGTATCTGGGCTTGAGGATTAGAGCGCCAACCTGGGAATTTCTGGGAAACGAAGTGTGCCACGGGGTACAGTAGTGTTTGTCGAAACGCTTACAAAATCCACAACACCACTATGTGAATAGGAAAGGAAAGCAGG